TGGGGTATTTTGGGGGAACTCGCTAAGATTTGGCTTACAGTTGTGCAATTAAATGTTTTCGGGTGCTTTCGATGATCGGGGAAAGTCGAATACATGATCTTACATATCCTCATACTAATTTATGTTTTAACATATGATTTTGATACTCTGATTTCTATGATTTAGTTTTGAAAACAATGTTTAAAAATTTATGGATTTTATGAAAATATCTTTTGAAAATGATAAATTTTATCATGGTTTTTGGGACGTTACAATATACGTATATAGATTAATCCGTACAGTCTTTCATCGTAATGATTATTAATTTATTTGCTTCGCTTTAATTACTTTTAATGTCCCTCACTAACTAGGGTTTACAGCATCGCTAACACTCCCCAAATAAAGACCTCATTTAATACTAACATGACCTAGCAACTCAGTACACCAAATAGGGCACAATTTCTATTGTTAACACTATCATGGTTCTCCACCTTCGCTACTAAGACTTTGTATGTACGAGAACAATGCATTCTCGTTCGAGGGTGATATTCGGTACCTCCACAAGCATACCTACACCAAACGTGATGTTTGTACATCTCATCCAATGTCACCGACATCACTCCAATCCCAGTATACCAACATACAGAAGGACCATGTCTTGCAATGGTCAACTAGAAAACCACTCAACATCAAATTGATTTAAGCTCTTTCTCCCCCACGATATCCTTTCACCGCGAGATCTCATAAGGCTACACACTTAGGTTAGGTTACAACCCTTTTATCCTCACTATGTATATTCCCCTTTATTTAATTAATTGTTATAATTAATTAATTCTCTCAGATGGGTGAACACATACCTCACCAATATAATTATATAATCATGCTAGTGAATTACTGTTATAGTTAATCCATGGCATACTACATCTCAACTTACACATCAAAGGTATATTTACATACACACTACATAATATTAGTTAGTAGCATGTAAAATGATACACCTTTCAACAAACTACTTCTAGCATGGATATCCTAGTTTCATTCGAGAGTGACAAAACATAAATATTATATGCATGTCATCACAATTTAACCACACAAAAACTCCTAACCTATAGTGTAGAGCTAACTCTCTTAATTTTCACCAATTGATTAATTTAATAACTATAACATACAAATGATTCCTAAATTCATTTGCATCATCAATAACTTTAGATGTCTAAGTTATATTTAACCCTTAACCTTTGGTTTATAACATCACATAACATGAAACAGACAAGAATAAAATTATATGTGCATGCTATCTTTCTAAACTAGTGCTTAAACCACACAAGAAATGACTCACCTCTAGTCCAAGTTATGTAGAGCAATGAACATAGGAAAGATTACCTTCACACATGTACTATAACATGCCAAAAAGAATACCCAAAGAACTGATCAAAAACAGATCATAAAATAAGAATAATTCTTTCTAGAAGGATGTCATGTCATGGTCAAAGGGGGTGTCACGTTGTGAACTCAGTGTCCTTCATGACTCTGGCCCGATTAGTTTCCGTTGTCACGTCGTGTCACTAGTATGCCCACGTTGTGATATAAAATAACCGTTAGGGTTTGACCAATCAATTCCATGTCATTATGATGTGGAAAATGGATGATCAGTTCGTGGCCATCACATAAACGCGAACCTAATCGTTCTAGGTCTCGACGTCACGACATGGAAAAGGGATGCTCAAGTCGTGAGAACTGGGCAGTTATAGATTTTTGATTATTGAGTAATGACCTTAATCTGCATAGTTTGGGTACTATCAAAACCTCTATCGGGATGATCTTTGCCCCTAAAAACCATCTCTAAGTGACAATAGTGATAGGGACTAGCATGGGACAATCTAACACACCAAAACCAAATTTTGCATCATTCATGGTTTCTTCTTGTGTGTGATTTGTAGGAAAATAAAATGAATCATGGATATATGTCTTTACCTTCTGGAAATCCAGAGATGAACTACCAAGAGAAGGCTAAGGAAGAAGTTCAAGAATCCCACCACAAGTTCACCAAAAGCACCAATGACTTCACCCTCCTTCTTCACTTCAATTCACAACCTAAGGCAAGAACCCTAGAACACTCTCTCAACAAGATGGAGGCTTAGATGATTATTGAATCCCGAATTATGTGTACTATAAATACATACAAAAATTTCATGTTAGACCCTTAAAGTATGTAAAAATGACTACATGATCGATATGCATGATCAAGTAACCATTTTTTACACTTTAACCCTTCAAAAGTGAACTTTTACAATCAAAAAGTAACTTAACATGAAAATGTAATGGAGCTAACCTCAATGGCAAAGTGGGAAAATTCAGGTCGATACACAGTGGTAGTGGTGGTTGGAAATGGTACTGGTGGTGGTGGCGGAAATAGTGGTGGCGCTGGTGGTAGCAGTGGTGGTGGTTGTGTATGTGATGGTGGTGGTAGCAATGGTTGTGGTGGTGGGTGATGGTGGTGGTGGTAGTGTGGTGGTAGTGATGGCGGTGGTGGTGACAATGGTGGTGGTGGGGGATGACGGTGGTGGTGATGGTAGTGGTGGCAACAGTGGTGACAGAGATGGTAGTGGTGATGGGGATGGGGACGGGTGATATTGGTGGTGGCGGTGGTAGTAATAGTGGTTGTTGGTGGTTGGTGATGATAGTGGTGCTGGCGGTAATGGATGTTAGTGGTTGGTTGCAGTAATGGTGCATGTTGGCTTTCTGATAAGTAAAAAGATGTATTTTTGTAATATGTCACTTTTCTTAATGAGAATTAATGTTCTTCATCCAACTTTGAAAGGAATCAACTTTCCTACATATGATGAAAATTTTATTTCATTTAATAATTTCTTTCCCCTTCTTAGTCAAACCAATCACATGAATTCGAAGGAAATCGAATCATTCTCCATCGAATTTCATTGTTTTACTGCCAACCAAACGTGCCTAAATTTGAAAAATACAAAATTGCAAAAATGGTCCTATGGTTTATCATTTTATGTGACTAAGGTCAAAGCCTTTGAAAAGTTGTAGATTTGATCATTTTCAACAATTTTTGTTGTGATTGTGGTCCCTCTTCCTTAATTTAAAACTTGGCTATTAACTTTTTTAAGATGTCTGTTTTACCCTTAGGTATTATTTCTATAACGAAACTACAAGATCATTTTCCACATATCTTCTTTTTAATTTTCTTGAATTAATATATATTAATAAATATTATTTTAATATATAATATCTATATATTAATAAATATTATTATATAAGATTATTAATTTGTTTTAATTAAACTTTTTCTTTAATTTCTTTGTTGTCGGGTTTTTAATTGGATTTTAAATATGAATAAATTTTATTTTTTAATGTATAATATTTATATATTAATAAAGAATTTTTTTGGATTATTAAATTACTTTAGATAATTTTTTTATTAGAGTAATTCTTTTTTATTAGATTATTATATATTAAAAAAATATATTATTTTTCATATATAATATTTATATCCTAGTAAATATTTGATTATTATTTTATTTTTAATGTATACTATAAATTATTTTTAATTTTATTAGTTTCACTACAAAATCGCCAAAATACGTAAAAGTGTTGCCTCTCATTTTCAAAAATTGTCGAACTCACCATAAAACATCTTCATCGGAGGTCGGACAAAAACCTACCAACCTTTTCCAACCAACGATAATGGTAGTAACCTACGATAACACCGCTACCTTCACCGGATCACCACCAACACTTTTAATGTTTATAGGAGTTTGTTGCACATTATGTGAGATATGGAGGATTCCAACGGGTTGTGAAGAGGTTGTCATAGGTGGCAACGGGTGTTATTGGGTGGAAAAAGTTAGCAGAGTTTACGTCGAACATCCGGTAAAGGTGTTTGGCGGTGATCTCGAAGATTTTTTTTGATGATTGGCGGCGATTTTGTATATTCCGACAACTTTGTAGTAGAACTAATAACATTAAAAAGAATTAATATCATACAATAAAAATAAATTAATAATATAGTAAATAATATTTATTATATAAAGAAAATAATAAATTAAGAGTAATATTCCGATAAAAAAATAAGTAATCCAAAAAAAATAAAAATTTAACTAAAAAAAATTAACAATCTGATAATGTATTATTAAATAAGATATAAATATTATCAATTAAAAATAATATTTATTAATATATAATAATCCAATAAAAAAGAACTACTCCAATAAACAAAATTAGTTAAAATAAATTAGTCCAATAACAATATTTATTAACATGTATATATTATATATTAAAAATAATATTTATTTATATATAATAATCCAATTAAAATATCTGATAAAAAACAAATTTTAAGAAAAATAATTAAAAAATTCAATATTTATTAATATATAACCAAGGGACCAAAATCACAATAAAACATATTGAAAATAAGAAAATCTACAACTCTTCAAAAGTTTGGATCTAAAACACATAAATAAGAAACCATAATAACTATTTTTGCAATTTTGTCTTGAAATAAATAATCGAATATTAATGGTTAAATAATCGGTTTGTTATTTTAAAGGCATAACTCACCTACTTGATTAGTTGGTGGTTGGTTTTGTGATTTTAGAAATAAATTATGAAATTATTAGATTACAGAATGTGACTGTTTTGGTTGATGTGTATGTATGTATTTAAAATTATGGTTTAACGCAACAAGATGAGGTCATTTGTAAAGTTACAGGTGAACCAAATACAACAATAAACAATATGCTATATGATAAATGATATTATTAATTTATAGATAGTACATCGCATGTCAAAATGTTCATCAAATCCCTCAAAAAAGTCAAATTATTATAAATTAGCCTATTTTCGGAAATTCTATAAGTACCCTCCAATTCTCCAATCGCAATGTACCCAAATACTTAATATTGCTTGTGTATGATGTGAGTCAACTTTCCTTTACTGTATAACTTATTTTTAAAGCACTGTAAATTGATAATTTTATATATTAAAAATATGTTTGCCTTCAAGTCTACAACCTTATGTCTTCATGATAGAGCAAAACTGAGCTTTCTCACAAGCTAAATCCGAAAGACCAACGGAAATATTAAAAAGATATTCAACATCTAATGCCTTAATTATTACTATTGATACGAAAAGAAATTTGAATGAGGTTCCATAAAACAAGTACAAGGAGACGTTTTTAATAGGCTCCATGATATTATCATATAAAAATCATAGTGTACCAACAATGGAGACAGGTTTTCCCTGTGCAAGCAATGGAACTTTTTTATGATTAGCCACACCGCAGGTTTCAGTCATATCTACATCCTCTGGCTTCACACCATGTGGAAGCGACCAATCAAACTTGCATAGAACAGTAGCCAACACCTTCTCAGTAAGGCCATCGCAAATACCCTTCCAGGGCAACTCCGTCTTCCAGCACCAAATGGAAGTAACTCGAAATTGTGTTTTACGAAATCAATAGATGACTCCAAGAACCTCTCTGGCAGAAACGTTTCAGCTTCACTCCATACTTTAGAATCCCTCATAATTGCATAAACGTTTACGTATACCCTTGTTCCTTCAGCAATATCGTACCCCATTACGTTTACATCATATCGTGCGATTCTTGGAGGTAGAAGGGCAAGGGGAGGATGGAGGCGTGTAGTTTCCATTATCACAGCTTTAAGATACCTCATCTTTCCCAGATCTTCATCGTTTATCTCTTCCTTTCCATTAAGGACACTCCTTACTTCATCCTGGACTTTCTTCAGAATATTCGGATTTAACAACAGCTCGGTCATCGCCCATTCAAGTACGGCTGAAGATGTATCTGTCCCACCAACATACGCGTCCTACATACAATATTAGTGCAAAATGTTTAATTAATGAAAACGGACAAGGATTCAGTTGTTTGTGATAGAATTGTAGACTAAGATAATGGGAAATATAATACGTACCAAAAGGAGTGCTTTGACCACATCCCCATCGATGGTGATTCCAATGTTATCATCTTTCTGAATCTTAAGCAGAGCTTCAATGAAGCTTTCCACGTCATTTTCACCATTTGGAGTCGGGTTATTGACTACTTTCTTTATGGTCTCATCGACTACACCTTGGAGGAACTCATCAAATTCTAATGCGACCCTATCGACTTTAGAAGTAAGACCTCTAAGACGATCAACCACCGCAAGAAGAGGAAACGAGTCCTCCAAATAAAAGCTACCCAATACCTCCAAGAACTCTTGCATGATCTTCTTGAATATCCTCCCAATCTCCCCTTCATTATACGTCCTCCCGAACGTAGCCAAACATGTCACATCGTTTGAAAGTGAGCAAAACAAGTCGCTCAAGTCTGCAGGCTTCTTAGACAAGAAACACTGGGTGATTTTATAAACACATTCGGCAATTACCTTTTCCCTCAACTCATTAAAAGTTTGGACCTTTTTGTTACTTAGAAGCTGGAGAGTCAGAATGCTCTTTGCTTGCCTCCAGTATTCACCATATGGAGCCAATGTTAGTTCCTTGAGGTTGTAGGAGATGGTTCTGAACATCCTTGTGCTTGGCCTACTGGCAAATGCAATATCATGTGTTTTCATGATCTCGCGAGCTGCTTCAGATGACGAAACCACCAGGCTTGGGACTGAGCCGAGGTAGAGGAGCATGAGCGAGTCACCATAGCGTCTGGACAGAGATAAAAAGGATTGGTGGACGAGTGCACCCAGCTGGTGGAGGTTGCCTATAATCGGTAACTTTGGTGGTGATGGTGGTAGCTTCTTGGTCGACGATGATCTAGAATTGTACCTTCTGAAGAGTACCAATGCAGCGCCAAGATACAAAGGCAAAGTGTAGATCGGCAGCTGCTCCAAGACACTCCACATCGTGTCTCAGTAACTGAGATATGGTGAGAAGAGTGAAATTGAAATATAGGTGTGAATGAGAGTTTATGTTAAGGCGACTATTTATAATCAAAATCTTTTAAACCCTCCATTTTGTGCCATCGAGCTGGATCACGCTGTCGTGTTAGGGATAATGACCATGATTAAGAAACAATAAATTGCAATAATAGTGATTTTCAGTAAAACCTCATCGACAAAAATAAGATATATGATTTTTGAAGTGTATTCTGAAAATTGATTATGTTAAACGTCAATGTCCGATAATTGCAATAATATTACTCAACGCTTGATCCCCTTTCTTTTTTAATCATCAAGATCTGCGGACAAGTTGCCTAATCAATTCTTCTTTTCTTCAGACTTAGGTCCCACCGTCTTATCCTATACCACGCTGTCATTTATTGTTCGATCTTAACTAATTGGCTTGTTTATGTTTCAGATTTAGTTCGATCTACTTCTCTATATACAAACATGGACGATACTGTAAGATCTATGTTTCAATACGGCTAGATTGGTTCTTCTCTTGTTCGGATCTTAGCTCCCGACATCAGATCATATATGATCCTTTCATTCAGTGTTACATATTCAACGATTTGTCTCTTCGTCTTTCATATCTGATATCTGGTTTACATATGCTTCGATATTTAAGAACTGGAACAATCTAGGTGTTTCATCCGATATGTGCTCTCTGACTTCATCTCCCAGGTACAACAGTTAGACCTTGTTTTAGTGGTTTAAGCCTCATGCTCAACGTGATTAGGTTTTGTTGGACTTCTAAGTTCTAACTAGTACTAACCCTAAAGTCATCGCAATTCACTGAACCACGTTATATATATAATAAATTGCAAATCATATAAAAAGCTCTTAAGTTTTCATAGAGGTAAGTTTTATCTTTGCCCGTGTTTTAGGTTTACTGCAGCCGTATGTTTTATTTAATTTGTTTATTTATATCCTTTTAGTCGCGTTTCCAAATAATACGAGTAAAGCCATTGAGTTTTAAAAATATTAGAATTTACTCTTAAGTTTTCAAAAATATTTGGATTTATCTTTACTTTGATTGTTATTCTGATTATTTTCATTATATATATATATATATATATATATATATATATATATATATATATATATATATATTAAAGTTGTACACCTTTAGGAACAGTAAACTTCCGAAGGAGTTGGCAGAAATGGCCCTTACGTATATATTTTGTTGCATTTTCGGCATGTTTTTCTATAAGGGTATTTTATGTAATTAATTGCTTTCTTTTCTACAAGTGTTGATCATCGTTGCTGCTGTTGTGTGACTGTATTTCATGTTTATCTTCATATTCTGTCGATTGTTCCTTTTGGGATATATGTTCTTATTCCATCGCTTCTCCATTCTTCTTCTCACTTAAACCTGAAAGGGCCCTCACCACCACCACCCTACAGTCGATCGTTCACCACCACCGGCTTTAACGCTTACTTCCACTGCCTTACTTGACTGAAGGTTTACCATCGCTCCAGGGCAACTTCGTCTTCTAGCAGCAAATGGAAGTAACTCGAATTTGTGTTTTACGAAATCAATAGATGACTCCAAGAACCTCTCTGGCAGAAACGTTTCAGCTTCACTCCATACTTTAGAATCCCTCATAATTGCATAAACGTTCACGTATACCCTTGTTCCTTCAGCAATATCGTACCCCATTACGTTTACATCATATCGTGCGACTCTTGGAGGTAGAAGGGCAAGGGGAGGATGGAGGTGTGTAGTTTCCATTATCACAGCTTTAAGATACGTCGTTTTTCCCAGATCTTTGTCGGTTATCTCATCATTTCCATTAACGACACTCCTTACCTCATCCTGGACTTTCTTCAGAATATTCGGATTTAACAACAGCTCGGTCATCGCCCATTCAAGTACGGCTGAAGATGTATCTGTCCCATCAACATACGCGTCCTACATACAATATTAGTGCAAAATGTTTAATTAATGAAAACGGACAAGGATTCAGTTGTTTGTGATAGAATTGTAGACTAAGATAATGGGAAATATAATACGTACTAAAAGGAGTGCTTTGACAACATCCCCATCGATGGTGATTCCACCCATGTTATCATCTTTCTGAATCTTAAGCAGAGCTTCAATGAAGCTTTCCACGTCATTTTCACCATTTGGAGTCGGGTTATTGACTACTTTCTTTATGGTCTCATCGACTACACCTTGGAGGAACTCATCAAATTCTAATGCGACCCTATCGACTTTAGAAGTAAGACCTCTAAGACGATCAACCACCGCAAGAAGAGGAAACGAGTCCTCCAAATAAAAGCTACCCAATACCTCCAAGAACTCTTGCATGATCTTCTTGTATTTCCTCCCAATCTCCCCTTCATTATACGTCCTCCCGAACGTAGCCAAACATGTCACATCATTTGAAAGTGAGCAAAACAAGTCGCTCAAGTCTGCAGGCTTGCTAGACAAGAAACATTGGGTGATTTTATAAACACATTCGACAATTACCTTTTCCCTCAACTCATTAAAAGTTTGGACCTTTTTGTTACTTAGAAGCTGGCGAGTTAGAATGCTCTTTGCTTGCCTCCAATATTCACCATATGGAGCTAATGTTAGTTCCTTGAGGTTGTAGGAGATGGTTCTGAACATCCTTGTGCTTGGCCTACTGGCAAATGCAATATCATGTGTTTTCATGATCTCGCGAGCTGCTTCAGATGACGAGACCACCAGGCTTGGGACTGAGCCGAGGTAGAGGAGCATGAGCGAGTCACCATAGCGTCTGGACAAAGATAAAAAGGATTGGTGGACGAGTGCACCCAGCTGGTGGAGGTTGCCTATAATCGGTAACTTTGGTGGTGATGGTGGTAGCTTCTTGGTCAACGATGATCTAGAATTGTACCTTCTAAAGAGTACCAATGCAGCGCCAAGATACAAAGGCAAAGTGTAGATCGGTAGCTGCTCCAAGAAACTCCACATCGTGTCTCAGTAACTGAGATATGGTGAGAAGAGTGAAATTGAAATATAGGTGTGAATGAGAGTTTATGTTAAGGCGACTATTTATAATCAAAATCTTTTAAAACCTCCATTTTGTGCCATTGAGCTGGATCACGCTGTCGTGTTAGGGATAATGACCATGATTAAGAAACATTAAATTGCAATAATATTGGTTTTCGGTAGAACCTCATCGACAAAAATAAGAAATAAGTATGATTTTTAAAGTGTATTCTGAAAATTGATTTTTTTAAAAGTCAATGACCGATAATTGCAATAATAGTAGTGAACGCTTGATTTCCTTTCTGTTTAAATCCTACAAGATCTGCGGACACGTTGCCTAATCAATTCTTCTTTTCGTAAGACTTAGGTCCCACAGACGTATCCTATAGGGCCTATCATTTATTGTTAGATCTCAACTAATCTGGTTGTTTGTGTTTCAGATTTAGTTTCGATCTACTTCTCTATATACAAACTTGGACGGACCTATAACATCTATGGTCAATACGGCTAGATTGGTTATTTTCTTGTTCAGATCTTAGCTCCCGGCATTAGATCATATATGATCCTTTCATTCAGTGTTACATTCTCAGCGATTTGTCTCTTCGTGTTTCATATCTGGTTTACATATGCTTCGATATTTAAGAACTTGATCAATCTAGGTGTTTATATCCGATATGTGCTCTCTGAGTTCATCTCTTAGTTTACAATAGTTAGATCTTGTTTAGTTCAACATGATCAATCTAGGTGTTTACATCCAATATGTGCTCTATGAGTTCATCTCTTAGTTTACAATAGTTAGATCTTGGAAAGGTGTCATCCGATTCAGGAGGCGGGGCAAGCTGGGTCCTAGGTATATCGGTTCTTTCATGGTTATAGCCCCATTGGGTAGGCTAGCGTATCGGTCAGATCTTCTTGAGGAACTCAGTCAGTTTCACAGTACTTTTCACGTATCTTAGCTACGGAAGTATTTGGCTGATGATTCCACAGTGGTTCCATTGGCCGATATTTAGGTGGACGACTGTCTGAACTTCAATGAGAAATCAGTAGCGATCCTCGATAGAAAGACGAAGACCTTGACGAACAAGATTTTTTAGTTGGTAAAAGTGTAGTAGCAGCACCGCAAGGGTTCAGAATGGACATGGGAGTCAGAGGACGAGATGAGGGAGCATTACCCTAAGTTATTTCCGGCAGCTAGCGAGCTTCGATGACAAAGTTTAATTCAAGTATGGGAGAATTGTCGCGCCCAAGTCAACTGATATGAAATCAATCTATTATTCTAATTAATTCAATTAAAAATGTGGTCAATGGTTCGTAAGTACGTTGAGTGTGCATTAGGTACGCACATCGTACTCCTTGTATGTGAATCACTGGGGTGATCCTGGCGTATGCTGGGCATACTCAAGCCAATGGCAACCCTATTCTTTAGGGTTTGCAGCCTATTTAAGGTCCTTAAGTTCTTTAAGTACATTACCCATTTAGCCACTATTGCCTTTTAGTCTTATTCCTGAAACCTTAGCCATCTTCAGTGCATTTTTGAGCTTACATAGAGTGTTTGGATGTTCTTTTGTGGTTGTGAAGAAGAAGGAAGTTTAAGAAGAAGCAAAGGAGAAGAATGAGCTTGTAGATCTAGAGTTTGTGCATCATTTCTAGCCCATTGAAGGTATAAAGCCTGAAATTTGTTCATTCTAAGCTTAGATCTAGGTTTAGGGTATCTTTTTTCATTTTTTGGTCCCATAACTTGGTCTTTTGGAGTATGGGCTAGTCCAGGCCATTTGAGCTGTTCTTTTCGACTCTTGGGAGTGCATGAAGTCATAAAAATCATATCTTGAAGGTTACGACCCGACCATGCATGAGTTGGTAGCCACCTAAGTGAGTTAGAGGCCTTAATTCATAGTTTGGGCTCTAAGTGAGTTAGAGGGCCTTAGGCCCACCTTTTGTAGCAAGACATTTGCAGGATTAAGGCCCTGTTGGGTGCTCTTGGGCTTAAAGGCCTTCTAGTTGGGCTTGGATGCCTTTTTGGACTTGTATGGATTTGGGCCTTGTAAGAGGGAGTCCTAATGAGGAAAGGGTGAAGAAACCCTTTTTGCATTAAGTCAAGAATGAGGGTTTAGACTTTCGGGTTAGAATATTGGCCCAATTTCTAATTAGGTTTTTGTACTCATGCCTTAAGGAGAGGATTTTGTGCGTCATTTGTTGAGTATGATTTGATACCTTCAGTATGAGGTGATTTTCCTTCACTGTATCCATGGTTCGAATGCACTAATGTTTGCACACTAGTTCATGATGTAGTATGATGATTGTCTTCGTGACAATTGTCAGTTATGCCTGTATTTGCTTAATGACTCTGTGATTATTTGTTATGATATTATATGGTAGTGGTAGGGATAAAATAGACCATGTATCTGGTTGAAACAGACTAAAGTGGATAACAAGCACCCATATATGCTTGACAGTATTCGGTTGAACCAAGGGGAATACAAGCACCCCAGATATGCTTGACAGTATTCGGTTGAAATAGACCGAAGGGGATTGCAAGCACCCAGATATGCTTGGCTATATGTTTGTATTGTATGTGATATTTTGAGGGGGGGGGGGGAAACACTAAGCTTTATGCTTACAGTTTTCAGTTTATGTTTCAGGTACTTCTGTTTCGAAGGGGAAGGGACCCGGTCGGATCACACGATATCACCCTATGGTTTTTGTAATTTGAGATTTTGGGAATTTGTACTCTGATAACATGTTGGGATGTTACAAAAATAATCCTCAATTTTGTTACTAGTATCGTATGACTTGAATGAATTTAAAAACAAAATATTATCCATATTTTTGGGATGTTACAAAAACAATCCTCAATTTTGTTCCATGTCGAATGTGTACCTAATACTTATTTTGTTGGATTAGGTGTCTAAGCTCATAACTATAATTGGTATATACTTGAATTGATAGCAGCACAGTCCTTTTGGGTTTCCCTCAAGACTAACAACTAGACAAGATTGATTAGAAATAATAATATTTAATTATTATTTAATCAGAAATTAATTGGAATTAATTTTGGGATTAAATAAATTAATTAAAAGTGTGGGGAGTAATATGTAATTATTTGATTGTTGAGCAAGAGACAATCTACACCCTCCACTAGGAATGTACGGTTTCTTAAAGCCGAAGGGATTCTATAATTATAGTTGGTGGATAATCAGGAAGGTGGATAATTACCTGGTTTAAGATAATCTTTGATTTCGGCTTATCTTGGGTTTCTTGACTGCACTATAAATATAGCCTCAACCCTAGAACTTTCGGATACTCATTCTTTTGAAGAAATAGCCGAATTTTCCAACTTCCTTCCTCTCTTTGAATCTTCTTTCTTTGCTAGTGTTGGGTGTGAACCATTAGAGGCGTGACATTTGTAGTCCTTGCTCTCAAGGCTTCAACAACACAATGATTCTCATTGTTATTACTAAATATCAATCAAGGTATGTTTCTCCTAACCCTATTTGTATTTTTGAAAATATGCTAGTGTTCTATGGTTTTTATTTTTGTTGTTCAAACTTGTATGTTCAATTAGAGAAAATGTAACACCCCGAGATTCAGGTACATTTCTTTTACCCTTATTCTTTGTCATTAGTCATGAATAACCCTTGTGTGGAGAAAAGTTAGCATGTGAGTACGCTGGGCGTAACATGGGGGGTACGCTGCGCATACTCGTATGCTTAGTTTGGACGCAAATCACCAAGGTACGTTGGGCGTACCAAGAGTTACGACGGGCGTACCCGGCCCAGGTGCAAAACCCTAATCCATCTTGCACACTATTTAAAGGGTGTTAAGGCTATTTTCTCAGCCTCCATATCAGTGAGTGAAACCCTAAAAGAGAGCCCCCATCGTCCTTAGTGTGTGAGAGTGTTGATTGGAGCTTTTTGTGCCTTGGTGACTTAGTGAAGAAGAAGGAAAGGAGTTATTGGAAGCTAAAGCTTGAGGTACCATTTTGGATCTGAGATCTACAGAGCAAGGGATTACACTTAGAGGTATAAAGTTCAAAACTTTCCTCTTCTTTTGATTTGTTGTTGCATGTGCTTTTGCTATGGCTAAAAACCGCAAAGGTGGAGACTTTATGTGTGTAAAGTGCTCCATGGTCCGAGATATGTCCCCATTCAGTGCTATTAGTGATTTAAAGCCATAAAGCTTCCATCTTTAGTGATTAGTTTGAGGTCATGCTTGAGTATAAGCCTTCTAGAGTTAAAGGATGGAACATTGTGAGAGTTTGTGACTTATCCAGCCATGCAAAGGCATAAAGTCATCAACTTTATAGATTAAGAGGCTTAGATGTGGTCGGATCTAAAATCTGAATGTGAGTCTTAACTGTTTAAGACCTAAAGAGTTAAAAGGTTGAAGCTGGGGAGTACGTCGGGCGTAATCCCAGTACACGACGCGTACTGGGTGGCGTTCCCCTATCCTGAGAGGCACCCGGTTACGCCCAGCGTACACATCTGGTACGCGCAGCGCAACCCAATAAGTTGACTTTTAGGGTATGGTCTATTGTGGGGCTTTTTGGTTGTGAGAGAGGTAAAATGGTCTTTTACCCTTCTAAGAGTGTCATATGAGGACATAGTCTAGCCTTTGAGAGTTATAATAATATGAGTATTTATTTTATATGAGTAGGCAGAGGTTAGACCAGCGTTACCGAGTCAGAGATTACCGAGATACCTAAGGTGATTCTTCTCACTATACTTTACCTAGTGTGGTAATAGAGTTATGTGATAGAGTATTTTAGAGTTATATGCCAGTGTAATTGCATGTTATTTATGTGCTATGATTTATTGTGATATGTGTTATGCATGATTCAGAGTTACAGAGTTAGGAACTTCGGGTCCACAAAGTTAGGACTTTCGGGTCCACGGAGTTAGGGCCAGAGGGCCCATAGAGAGTTGGGGCTGGAGGGCCCTACTGAGACACATAGACCTAAGGGTCAACAGAGTTACAGCCTTGAG